ACACACACACACACACACACACACACACACACACACACACACACACACACGGGCCCTCGAAGGAAGCCAAGACGCCGCTCCGTGTGTGCGTACATAGGTGTGAATCGGTAAGCAGATAAAGAGGGCATAGTGGATCAATTTTTGTGGCAGGGAGATGAGAGCATGGCATACAGATGGCATTTCCCCGCCTGGCATCACACCAAGACGATACAAGGAGGTGGTTATCACTGAGCATGCTCATAAACGACATCAACAGGGGCCTGGAAGCCTCGGCCCTGATCCTGACCGTTTTATTCTGCACATTTAATCAAACCTTGAACACCGTTTTAATGTCAAGCTGCTTTAAACTTCAGTTACGGAGCATTTTTATCTTACACCGACTGATGTTTGGATGCTTTAATGATGCAAAGGCCCACCTCAAGTCAAGACCTCTGTGCTGTTAACCTTCACGTGTCAGACTGGGGTCATTCATAGGTGTTGTTGGGATATTTTTAATCATGAAAATCGTTCCTTACAACTTTTCATATTTTACTACAGGGATTGGCCCAGTGCTGTGGCAGGGAAATGGACTTATTTATTACCTATAGGAGTGTTTTGTTAAGAATACTGGCTTTGGTTTGATTATAATTTTCCACTTGTGATCGCTGCGTTGTGATTTTACGCAGTGAATCATGGTTAACAGACCTAGAGTAGATTTAATGCTGCAGAAACCTCGAGGCAGACACTTGATGTCCAAAGATGAGTCAGCATCAGTTACCAAATTATGTTTGAGTGCTTTTGTAAAAATGTATTCTGAATATTCCTCATGTACAGATGACACATTCAATTTAAACAAAAACAACAGACGTACAGTGACGACCTTGTTAATTCACTCTAACATCTTAAATTTTACATTTGTTGCGATTATTGTGCTGATCTATTGTTTTTTAAAGGTTTGTGATGCACTAATGTGTAAAATGCTGCACTGCTGTGTGCTGATATGAAATCATCTAAATATACAGTTCTTTCTTTATTCAGTTAGACAAAGCATTGCTTAGGGTCGCACTAGACCATTAGTTGTTCTGTATTTATCAGTTAATATGTGCTGAGATCCAAAGTGCAGGAAAAATACCTGGCACTGTAGTGAATCCTGCAGCTGTAGCCCTGCAAACTAGCCCCTCCCTTCCTCCCCTCTCTCTCTCCCCCTTGTGTGACTTTAATGTTTCTACATTGTGCCTTTTCACTACATCAGGAATCACTGCTCCGTTAAGATCTTCTAACTCAAACAAACAAAAATCTGAGAAAAGTTGAGAAGAATTTGTCCTTTTGCAGAATATCGGCTTCAAAGTTGATTTCAGATGAATCGTCTTCTCCCCCTCAAAGCTTCCCCTCTTTCTTTTCTTCCTCCCCTCCTCCTCGTCCTCTTGTACCCGACTGTCCCAGTAAGCTTACGTCAGCCTCACAAACGTGGAATAAAACATCACGAGTCAAACCTTTGCCTCAGAACAGAGAGGAGGCCGAGCGGCTTAACTTATAATCTCCTGCCTTTAACTTTCATCAAACCCTTAAATGTCTACATCACTGCAGAGACTACTCACAGGATTTTCCTTTCTCTATAACTGCTTACAAATATTACCCACATCTGCTGCAGCTGGACGGTAAATCAGCAGATATTTAACATCTTTTCACACAAAAAGACGAAGACAGAAACTTCAGGTCTTCACACTGACAAGACAATGTGTGTGTGTGTGATTCAGCATGTGCGTCAGCTGAGAGGGAGAGGTGCGTTTGATTCAGTGCAGGTATATATTTTTCTCAGCAGGGCGTGTGTGTGTGAGGGCAGGTGTGTTTCTTCTCTCTCTCTGTGTCATCGACTGGCCAACCAAATCAGCAATTATTCGCACGCCCAACCATCGCTCAATGGACCTGCCCAAGCACCAAATAAGAGCTGGGGAGACACACACACACACACACACACACACACACACACACACACACACACACACACACACACACACACACACACACACACACACACACACACACACACACACACACACACAAAGGTGGAAACACACCTGTGAGATGTAAACTCACAGACGCAGGCAAATGGAGACCAACACACACACACACCTTTCTTCCCAGCAGCTGACAACTATCTGTGGCTGCGAGAGAAAGGCAGAGCCTCTGAATGTTAAGTGCCTCCCTGAGGGAGGAAAATAAGGCCGCTGATAAGTTAGTCAGCTGCAAATCCAACAAGTCCACATGAAGGCAGAGAGGACGGCGGTGACACGACACACACCACCTCGAGTCACACACTATCTCTGCTCTCACATCCACATGCGCGCAAGCCATATGAATCCACAACACACACACGAGACAAAGACAAAAACACGGCTCAAAACAATGCACACACACGCGTGCTTAAAGCAGGCTCGCTGATACAAACACACACTCCGTTATGTGAAGCAGAAAAAGCGAAATCCTCCCATTCGACTCCAGCAGGAGCTCGATAAATAAAAATAAATAAAGCGGCCGGAGAAGAGGGAGGAAATCAAGCTGAACGCAGGCAGCGTGGTGCCGGCTGCAGCGCCGCTTTGGATACGCGTGTCTGCCCCCCCCCCACCATCTCCTCTTTTGCTAATTAGAATTGATTTATTATGGACCAGGTAGCTTATCAGGTGCCCGGTGAAATTACAATGGGTGTCCGAAGGCCGCGAGGAGAAAGGGGGTGGTTTGTGAGAAGGGGGTGGTGCTGGTCAATGTCGAATGGCAAAATCAATTAGCATTGATTGGCGAAAGGTTCATTTTGCCAAAGAGGACGCAGTCGAAGGGGATTAAACTTCCATGGCCCTCTGACAACTTTGATACGACACAATGGCTGCTTTTCTGGCTGCGGTGTAGTTAACAAGCTTTCAACAATATAACTGCATTTCTTTCTTTTCTTTTTTTAACATTGCAAACACTGAATGCAGCTGTGGTCAGATTCCACATCAGGCATCGGCTAGTCGGGTCTGGGTGAGAAACAGATAGCATTGATCAAGTATCTGGGAGTGAAATCCCTCGCAAGCTCGCATCTTAATCCTCATCAAGCCGAAGCAGAATTCAAATCACCCTGCTTCAGGCTCCCGATGAAGGCTGGCCCCCGCTAACAGGCGGACGCCACGTAGAAAGGACTCAGAAGAAGAGACACCAACCACTTTACTCGAACTCAAGCGACCTCGACAGTCGATTTTACCCTCCTCACTACGAAATGGAAAATGAACTTCAACTATTGCTGCCGGTCTCCTGCAGGACTCATTTGGGAAGTAATTAAACTATGCAGATGTTCTGGTAAATTTCAGGAAGATTTAGGAAAGAGAGAGTAAAATGAGCTCCTGGTTGTTTTACTTTACTTGTTACATAATCTCCTCAGCTGTGAAAACTGCTGTTTAAAATGCATCTAAAGTTACAAAATTAAGAGTTTAATGTACGCGTGTGCAGCCTCCCTCTGCGTGTGTGTGTGTCTTACCCTCGATGGCCAGCATGGCTCTCAGCTCTCTGTTCAGCAGTTCGAAACGCCTCTCCAGATCGTGCTCTTTCTCCCTGTGGCAAGTTAGAAAGAGGGGAGACGGGAAACACACACACACACACAAAGTTCATCAATATGTTAATGACTAAATCATTAAGTACTTAAAGAAACCTGCAATAAACATCGATTCGGCCACTCGCCCGAACCTTCTCTGGCTTCGCATTAATCTACTGCACATAACTGATACTCATAGTGCACAGCCCTGGGTTAAGGTGTGTGTCTGTGTGTGTATGTGTAAGGATAGAAAAAGGGAAATAAGGAGCGGAGTTTGGGGGGTGGGGGTGAAAATGCATTAAAAACAGAAGATGAGGGAGTAGATGTGTATATGCAAGCGTGGCCCTGTGTGGATCTATCTGCCACCCGCAGCACAAATTGAATTCTTTCCTCTTTCAGCCATATTAAAAAATGAGCTAATTCGGCCCCTAATAGAATTTGTCCTTCACAGGCGCCGTTTTCTCTTTGCCTCCACAAAGAGAGAACAGAAAGGGCTAATAATCAGCCCTTCTGTCAATTGGCCACTTTAAAAGCCTCTCCTTTCCCACGATATAATGTGATTATGAATACTTCAGGCTCTCCTCCACTTGCACACTTTGAAATCCCTACAGCCACAAATGAGGAAAAAAAGGCAGCGCGTGTCTCCACCTGTCGCAGCTGACCACATACAAAGAGACTGCAGATAGAGTAGCGATCGCCACATTTCTATTGATTTTATATCCCTTTCTGCATGTAAATCAATGAGTGGATAGACAGAGATGGGGTGAATGGAGTGGAGAGGACACTCCTGCCCCGTGCAGCTTAGACGAGCTTGATCTAAAGCTCGAGGAGCAGGTTTAAAACGCTTCTCAGCTGCTTTAATTTGACATGTGAGAAATTAAAATGGAAGCAAAGATGAGGCGACAGAGAGGAAGAACAGTACGTACAGCAGAGAGAGCTGGTTCTGTCTCCTGATGAGGGCGTTCTTCTTGTTGACCAGCATGAACCACTCCTGCATCATGGCCTCCTCCTCCTCCTTGTTGTTGCCTAGAAAGAGCACAGAAACACACCAATAAATAAACCAGCAGATACACACGTTACAGGAAATGTTTCAAGAATAACACGTTGCTCTTTTGCTTTTGTTTTTTTGTTTGTTTGTTGTTGTTTTTTTACAGTGGATTGAACCTGACATAAAAATTACAGCACGCCGTGTACACCAGCATATGCACATGAAAAGCGATGAGGCAGATAAACGACGGAGCTGCTGCCCCCACAGAGTCAGTGTGTCCACCAGATATTCATGTGTGGGTGTAAATACTCTCCTCGCTTATGTTCCCTGTGTAAACATTCACCTACTTCACACCATGCCATCACAACGTCAATACGGCTTCAACCGGGGCGGGATTAACTCTGCGATTACCGTCGAGCGCCTTTACAGAGTGAAGCCTCTCACTGTAGGGCAATACATATCCCACCAATCACTCAGCAGGCCTTCAAAAAAAAAAAAAAAGTCTCTGGGACTCTCTACTGCTTAGTGTAATACCTGCTCAACACACACAGAGAGCTAGTGAGGCTCAGATGCATGGCTAATGTAAGCTTTGCCCACGCCTGGGGCTAAAGCTCTATGCTGTAACTTACTTACAAGGTACAATGGGATGCGCACAACTGATACAGACAAAGCACGTCGAATCGAAAGCTTCAAATGTTAGCCAGGTAACAGTGACAGCCTCCATCGTGTTTGACCTGGAATAAAGACCAGCTGCCTGGGTGTGGAGTTTGACTCCCACTGTGCATCTGCTGGCCTCCGTGTACTAAAACCACATAATCGTAAGGTTTTAAACATACTGGAACTTGTGATGACGCTCAAACCAGAAACTGACAAATGATAACTAGATGCTCATTGAAGCTCTCAGGTGTTAAATGCTTACAGAGGAAGGGTTGATCAACAGGATTTTCAGGTACGGCCCATAAACATGCACGAAAAGTTATTTAATATTTCTGGAATGAATTAAATTTGGAAACAGGATAATAGTCTGAACATTAGCTGGATGGTTACTGTAAATTTGGAACCTATTTATAAAACTTTCTAGATACTGTTTAGTGCATCTTCAGGTAACTAAGTGGGGCTATTTCGGACCAGGTGTGGCAAAGATAATGAGCAGGTGTATTTATGCTGTAAATTCATGTAGGTCTGTTTAATCCCAGGTTTTTGCTCCAATTTTCATCCTGTAATGATTACACTGTAAGGTTTTACACCAAACCAAAGTGAAAAGACACCTCAGGCGTGTCTCTCAGGATCCAGAGGCTTTGATTAAACTGCAGTATTTGACACCCTGGGAATCAGGATGGCCTCACTGAGCAGGAACAAAAATAACAGTCTCAGCAGTGATGATTAATAAACACATAATAAAGATGCAAAATGCTACCAGTAAAATAATTATTTACTATAATTCTACAAATTCACAATTTATTTGTGAGTAAAAAAGACTTACTTTAAAGGTAAATCTTTAAATGTTATGACTACTTTTTTTTAAGGAATGGATAATCAATAAAATTAGATTCCCATAAAATAATACTACTAAGCATCTCTTTCTGCTTGGTTTGTTTTAATAATCTCTCACGTGTTATAAATTAAAATGCTATTTATTCTTTATCGAATCTCGAGGTCAGCTGAAAAGTGTCAGCGGCGATAATCCATAAGGTCCCATTTAACTCTGCAGCGGCGATATGAATCCTTCCATTCACTGTGGTAAATGCAGCAACGGTTTTAAGAAGATTTCCAACATTTATTGTCTGAGTATTGTAGCTGTAACCACTGTATCATTTATTTGATGAGAAGCTGTAAATAAATAACTTTGCTTCTTAGGAGACAAGAAAATAAGAAAGAAATAAATTTTTCCATCAAACACACACACACACACACACACACGCACACACACGCACACGCACACCAGTGTTCATTGCAGCAGTGGGAGCATCGGGCCACTGCGTCACTGATGACAAAAGGCAAACGCGTGGATGTGTGTGGACACCGGTGAATGTGTGGACATTTGTGATACTCTGAGCCAGCAGATGTATGTAATTTCATTTAGGAGGAGGGAGCGGGAAGGGAAAATGAAAGAAAGCAAGCAAAACCCCCCCCCAAAAAAACCAAGCGAATGAAAGAAAGCTTCAGGATTTAGCGGAATCACGGGCTCGTGGATTACTGTAGTCAACTTTGAAATGGACGACACTCGGAGGGGGGATAAAGCCGGCGCTGACAGGTCATTGTGCTGCCTCGAAGTCAAATAAAACAAGCAAATAATAATGGCAAATATTAAGCTCCTGTGACATTGTGGCGAGGCGGGCTGGAAGACGAGAGGGGATTATAAAGCTATATCCCCCACCGCTAGCCAGCCAGCTGCTACCAGCCAACCAACAGCCACATTTTATGAAAGGAGGGAGGGGAGGCGAGGGGAGAGGAAGGCAGGGAGGTCAGAGGAAAAGGTGGTAGAAGAGGGAGGAGAAAAGGGTAGAAGGAAGGAGAAAAGGGAAAGATGAGGAGGAGGGGGGGGGGGATATTGAATGTGAAAGCAAAATGGGATGACTGGAACGAGGGAGGGAGTGGAGGAGGAAATAAAGGCGAGCAGGTGAGTCAGGGGATGGAGGGATGGAGGCAGGAGACTCGACAGCTGCTCAGCATCCACCTCCGACCTCTAGATCCTACCTGACTCTTAAAGAGACAGACTGGGCGCAGATTTATTGTTATAGGTGGGCGCTAAACCCCTTTTTAATCAATTAAGCATGGGGAAATTATGTTTTACTATACCTTTAATTATAGTTTTTGAGTTGTTGGGGGAAGAGCCTTTAAAAAATAAAAAGTTATATAACTACATTGTAATTTTACAGGCCAATTGCATTTAATGAATTATTGAAAAGTATTCAGATTATTTAAATAGTTTTCTACTAGCTTGACTACTTGATACGACTGAATTAACAAGACAACTGTACGCAATACCGTCATCTTAAACGTAAAAGTGATGGTCGTTTCAGTTTCATGATAATTAAGGCTCGGGTTGGGGGTTTGATTCCCACTGGTGCAGCACATTCTAAAAACATCTTTGCTCCATAGAAAGCCATAAGCTTATAGTGACAACAGACTGCTGAATGTGGTGGTGTATGAAAACAAATGGTGTAAATATCCTTGGCAGTCACCACTGACACTGTGTCTGCGAATCCAGCCTTGGCTCTGAGACACTGTGGATCCATGCTGGCTCTCAGGGGGCCATCTTGGATCAAAGCATCTGGCAGTTTGGCAGGGTGCATTCTGGGTCTTGCTGCTCGCCTTACACGCCACTTCTTAGTGCTCAACACAGAGCAGGGCAGAGCAGAAACAGGCCAACTCCAGTGAGACTGAAGCAATGAATTTGGCGTTGGTACAGTGTGTGATGGGGACATCAAAGGGTTAGTGATGAAAATGCACAAGGTTTATCGCCATTAATATCATCCTTAGTGTTACCTCAGCTATCAATGCAGCTGTGCTGGTGAGAAACACACAAGATACAATCAACTCACACACACAGAGCTGAGATACAACTGATAGACATATCCCAACAACCCCTCTATCTGATTGCCTGTCTTCCTCTTCTCTTGTTCCACTCCCGGCCTCTCGCAGAAACGCAACCAGGATACAATGACACCAACTGCCGTGTGTGGAGGGAGGCTGCTATCCTCGAGGCATGAAGACAAGGCTGGTTAGCATAGGTCACTGTGTGTTTGGGAGCATCCATATGAGAGATGGTGAGAGAGAAATGCAGAAAGAAATGGGAAAAAAAAAAAAAGGGGGTACAAAGGCAGCCTCTATAGCCAAATAAGATTAAGATAGCAATCTTGGCCAATGTTCCATTCAGTGTTGATAGGAATAATGAAACTCACCCTGAGGTGGTCAAACTGCTGCTGCTGTTGGCCTGAGCTGCTTTGAATTAAGAGCGCCATGCTGCCATGTGCTAAATGTACAAAATTCATGCTTTAGCATTAGTCTTAGTGAGTACACGTTAATTGACTTTAACTGGCTTCACTGTATTTTTAATTGGTGACTAAAACATCAAACCAGAAGCTGCACTAAACCTGCAATTACTGATAACTTTAGCTTTAAATTATCGGTGTGTAGTTTAGCTTCTTTTAGCTGCTCCCTTATTTGACGGATCTACTTGGATGCTTCGGGGATTTGCGTCTCCCTCTCAAACCAGTGATCGATGTTAACCCTAGGACTACAGAGCGACAAAAAGACCAAAACAGATTAGTCGCAATGAAAATGCTGAAAATAGGAATGTATGCAGATGTATGGGGCTGCTCTTTATTTTCCTGAGATTGCAACGATGTCAGTTGTTTAGTTTAGCCACCGCTGTGGAGAAAGCAGAAGTCACAACATAAAAGAATCTTTGCAACAAATTACAAATTTAATTATGAAGTTAATCTGTAAGAAAAGAGGGCTGCTAATGTTAACTGCTCTCAGCAACTAATACTTAAAATAATTTTTTCTCTTTGATTATTGTGAAAGAGAAAAGTGTATTTTCTGTTTCATTATTGTGATCAATGGCTTCAAACAGCAACATGTGCAGTATTTGCACATGAGATGTTCATTCAAATTCATATAAATTGCAGTAAGTGGATGAGCAGGGTGTCCTGCATTTGTTCTTCCCTGGAGAAACTTCTGTGCCTTGAAGGAAGCAGCTTGGATAACCGAGGAAAATGAATGCGACAGAAAGAGAAACACATTAAAAGCTGTGATCACAGCATGTTCATCTCAGTCCTTATCCCACCATTTTGTCATTTAATCCAATAGCTGCTAATCCAATTTGTCTATCGGACATATAAAAAGGCAGGGAGGAGGAGGAGAAAGAAGAGGAGGGGAAGGGAGGAGATGGAGCTGAACTTCTCTTCTGTGTTCAAGTCACTTTCTCAATTGCGGTTTATTTAGGGCAGAGCTGCACTTGTGCATCTCCCCCCATCGTTCTCTCCATCCGAGCGTCAAGCCCGTCTGATATCAGCGGGGATCGGGGGAAGAA